GTGCGAAGTTAGCGATCTGGCCTGGTCTTCCGGGGCTAATCAGTTCTATGTCTCACTCCAAGATTGATCTGAGCTATTGATCTGCTTTATTGTCTTTTGTCTTTTGTTTACTTTCATTATTACCAATAAATGAGTGATTTTCATTCTTTACAAAAAAAACTACTACGTATATTTTAAAACCTGACCCAGCTCGCCCATGTCGACTCGAAACCCGGCCATCCGCCCAGAAATGCAGTCCAATCACTATTCACCCGCAAAAGACCCACAAATAACAGCTAAATTTCATAACCTGGCAGCAGGCTTAAATTTCACTTGTGGCAAAACTTGAATCTCCCGCTTTGTTATCTGCTAGAGTACGTACAAGACGCTGACACCAGGGGCGGACCCAGGAAATTCATCTTGAGAGGGCGGTAGTTTAAACAAAAAAAATTTTAGGGGACGAGAATTATTTTTCGTATATATATACACTAAAAAAAATTTGTTGGAGGGGCCCCTCTGGGACTGTACTACGGTCCGCCCCTGCGGAGTATTAATTAATAATCTTTGCATTCTTTGCAGGGATAAGGCAATTGACTTTTTTTTGCTTATGGCTCTTTACGGAATGCTTCAGCTTGAAAGAATCACTACGGAAATTAATAATCTTTGTTTATGACACATAGAGGCTACGGAAATCATGCACAGATTAACCGGCAATAAACATTTCTTATGAGTTTATAGATATGTGTATGACTCTCTATGGATCTCCAGATCAGATTTCTCTCATCCAATGAGTATTTCTTATGAGTTTATTTTGATTAGATTTCACTTTTGTTGGTAGCAATAAAAAACATTTGATTAATTTGTTTAAGATTATGTATGATGTTAGATTAAGAGCCCGTTTGGTAGCACGAAAATCGGGTGTTTTGGCTGATTCTGCTGAAATTTATGTAGTTCTGGCTGAAGTGGCTGCATTGGCTGATTCTGCTGATTTAAGAAAAAATTATTTTAAAAAAATATTTTATTAATAAAATAAAGAAAATATTACATGTAAAAATAGCTAAAATGATCATCTACAGTCACTTCAGCCAATACAGCCAGAAAGTAACTCCAACCTTACTTTTTGAGCTTATTACACAATTCAGCGCGCGAAAGTAAAAATTACGTGTTTGGTAAAGAAGTTGACTGATAAGCTGAAAAACAGTGGTTCCAAACGGCCTCTAAAAATAACAGTTGATTTTCTTGTTTACTTCTTGCTAGATGGACCCGAAAGCTTCTCACGATCCATCAAATAAGTTGTCTTCTGACCCTAATTCTAGCAGGCAAAAGCAAGATTCAGCTTGAAAATATGCGCTGAAATTAAGGATGCAGATGGTAAGAGGGCTATTTTATGTATTTACTGCTAGAGAGTGTTCAAGGGCAGGGGATAGAGTAAAAATGCATTTGGCTAGAAAGAGGGGGATGTTGGGCCTGGCCTTAAGGTGACATCTGAAGTAAGACATGCAATGGAAGAGAGCTTGAGCCAAACAACACAACAACAAAAACAAAGAAAGCTAATTATGATTAACTCAATCCATTTAAGAATGGATTACAACGCAATAAAACATATGACTACGCTTCTTCTGGGCCTTATAATTTTCCTTCTTCTAATGCAAGTACTGGAAGCAATACCAGTCTAGTGTAAGTACTAAGACCAAACAATAAGATCCAGTGATATTGGCTCATTCTTTCCGAGTGGCACACAGGTTGGAGTCCAACCAAGCATAAAGACCGCACTTCAAAGTAAGGACAGAATAAAGCAAGTAGATAAGGATGTTGCTTTATTCTTTTTTGATAATTGTATTCCAGTCAATGCTGCCATCTCATGTTATTATCAACCGATGGTTGATGCTATTGCTTCTGTGGGTTTTTTATATAAAGCTTCAACTTATACAGCTTTACATGTTAACTTATTGAGTGATGGAAGGAGGTTCAATTACTTGTTCAATCTGACAGGAGCGCGTAGGAGGACACCGGGTGTAGTATAATATAATGGGCGATGGGTGGAAGGACAATAGAGATAGACATTTGATCAACTTTCTGGTATACCATCCTAGGGAGTGTCTTTTGTCAAATCTGTTAATGATACTGATTTTGAGAATAATTCAAAAACATTGTGTAATTTGTTCTATGATATTGTTGAAACTGTTGGCTCCAAGAACTTTGTACAGATGGTAACGGAGAACGCTAACAACTATAAAGCTGTCGGCAGATTACTTTATGATGATAAGTATAATAAAATTGTTTAGTCACCGTGTTGTCACGGACCGTTGCTCGTGACCGTGTTAGGCTCAATGAATGGGACGGACCGACTGGCTAGCTGGATGGGCGAGGCATGGGGGAGGCAATAGCGTCAAGGGGAGTTCTGCCTTAGACGCTGAGGTCTGGCCGAGTTGGGCATGTGGGGCTTGACTATGAAGGAGACGGAGGCGGACATGAAGGCACAACTGGTCGGGAGCTATTGCTGTTCCCCTAATGAGCCCAAGGCAGGGCGAAACTAGTCCGGTTCCGTATGAGAGCGAGGCTTGTCCATGGGGATGAGAGGGACCCCGGGACGCCGCACGGGCGCTGTGGGCTGCGCCAGACTATATGCCCGTGACAAGTGGTATCAGAGCGGGTCGTGCTTATATTGTCGCGTGGAATGGTGGGGTCCTCGTGAGGGACGAGGACTATGCGAGCATGGTGGCTATAGGGCCGGTACGTGCTGATGTTGGCTCCACTCCTGATGGTCCGCAGGGGCGGATGGGTTCCTGAGATGATGGGGACTCGGGTGGCCACCAGCTCAGCCAAGCTGCGTCAAGGGGAGGCGGCCTGACAATGAGGCGCGTTGACAATATGAAGCATGGCGATCCTCGGGCAGAGTCATCTCCCCTAACACGAGGGCGTGCTAGAGTTTGAGTGGGGGAGAGTGTCACGGACCGTTGTTCGTGACCGTGTTAGGCTCAATGAATGGGACGGACCGACTGGCTAGCTGGATGGGCGAGGCATGGGGGAGGCAATAGCGTCAAGGGGAGTTCTGCCTTAGACGCTGAGGTCTGGCCGAGTTGGGCATGTGGGTCTTGACTATGAAGGAGACGGAGGCGGACATGAAGGCACAACTGGTCGGGAGCTATTGTCGTCCCCTGATGAGCCCAAGGCAGGGCGAAACCAGTCCGGTTCCGTATGAGAGCGAGGCTTGTCCGTGGGGATGAGAGGGACCCCGGGACGCCGCACGGGCGCTGTGGGCTGCGCCAGACTCTATGCCCGTGACAAGTGGTATCAGAGCGGGTCGTGCTTATATTGTCGCGTGGAATGGTGGGGTCCTCGTGAGGGACGAGGACTATGCGAGCATGGTGGCTCTAGGGCCGGTACGTGCTGATGTCGGCTCCACTCCTGATGGTCCGCAGGGGCGGATGGGTTCCTGAGATGATCGGGACTCGGGTGGCCACCAGCTCAGCCGGGCTGTGTCAAGGGGAGGCGGCCTGACAATGAGGCGCGTTGACAATATGAAGCATGGCGATCCTCGGGCAGAGTCATCTCCCCTAGCACGAGGGCGTGCTAGAGTTTGAGTGGGGGAGAGTGTCACAGACCGTTGTTCGTGACCGTGTTAGGCTCAATGAATGGGACGGACCGACTGGCTAGCTGGATGGGCGAGGCATGGGGGAGGCAATAGCGTCAAGGGGAGTTCTGCCTTAGACGCTGAGGTCTGGCCGAGTTGGGCATGTGGGGCTTGACTATGAAGGAGACGGAGGCGGACATGAAGGCACAACTGGTCGGGAGCTATTGCCGTTCCCCTGATGAGCCCAAGGCAGGGCGAAACCAGTCCGGTTCCGTATGAGAGCGAGGCTTGTCTGTGGGGATGAGAGGGACCCCGGGACGCCGCACGGGCGCTGTGGGCTGCGCGAGACTCTATGCCCGGCCCGTGACAGTGTGCTTGCCAATGTTTGAATTTAATTTTAAAGAATATTGGTGATATGCCTTATTTCGTGAACTTGGCCCAAACTGCTTCCCAGTTGACTAATTTGTGCTCAATCACCATGCAACTCTTGGCTATTCACATTCCTAGTCAAACTTCTTCCTCTTCTGGAGTTCTGGCTGTGAGCGCAACTGGGCTGTCTTTGAGAGGATTCACACCAAGAAGAGGCATAGATTGGAACATCAAAGGTTGAATGATCTTGTTTATGTGCATTATAACCTGCGTTTGAAAAACAGGTTAGTAAATGTGTTGTTTCTGTGTGTTATTGGTTCTATTTATGTGATTGTGATTATTTAATGCATTGTGATTATACTCTCTCTCTCTATATATATATAATATAGGCTGTACAACAAAAAAAGAGATTACGATCTCATTGATTATGAATGTATAGATAAAAACAAGTTCTGGGTAGTAAAAAATAAACCTTCCGGAGGGCTAGATTGTGATGAGTTTGAGCCATCCTTAATGATGGACAAACACCAAACAACCAAAATGGAGGTGAGTAGTTTATATTCATATATCTTCTTGAGGAAAAGATTTTATAAGCAAACGTAGATGATGCAAAAAACTTACATCTCTTTGTACTTGCTGTTTTAGGTGGTCAATGTGCAGACATTGACTGGGTTGACCTGCCGGGTCCAGGTTCACTAAACCCTTATTTTAAACACTCTCGATATGTAAATTATGGACATGAAGTCTCTATAATTCAACAAATGCATAAAAACCCCCAGCTATACGATGAGCCATGCATGTGTTATTTTAGAAGAACAAATTTACTACTCTGTATTGAATAAAATAAGTCTTTAGTTTTTTTATAACATTTTGATAACTAGACAAATTTAGTCATAAGAGGAAGATATGATTTTTCTCCATGTCAAACATCACCCAGGACAATGTGTGAGCTATATAAACACTTGTTAATGGTTAAAGTTATGTCTTTCCAAAGATAAAAACTGTTGTAATTTCATAAGAAGAGAAGTATATTACCGAGCATTATTGCATTACACAATCATTTGAATTTAATTGATATGGAAATACACAATAACCATATGTTTATTAACTCGATCACAAATGAATTCAAGTATGATATGAGACTAAATATGGTTTGTACATAAAAAACTTGTGCATATTATGTACTTAAAATTTAGCCAAACAAATCCCAATTTCCAATTACTCATTTCACGACTACTACATCTTGTCATTCATGCCTGCTCCGATCCGCTGGTGTATTCTGCTACCTTTGTTTGAAAAGCTGGGAGCGCCGCTCGGGCAAGCCATTCCCGGCGGCGAGGCCAAGCCACCTTCAGCCGCGTGCTGTTGCGGGTTGTGTGGAGTTTGATGTTGCTGCTGCGGCGAAACCCTCCATATCTTCACCGACTTATCAAGGCTCCCACTGTATAGGATCCAATTCTTGTCTTCCCCGCTAGCCGGCGTTCCACCGTCCTCTTCCACCGCCAGGCATTTAACCGGCCCAGTGTGACCATTCAGCACCGTCAGGCACACATGATCGCCACCTTCCCTCTTCCACACGCAAATATTTGTGTCGGCCGAGCCGCTGAAGATCAAATTCCCCGCCGCCGCGAGACACAGAACGGCCAGCTTGTGGCCTCTCAAAACCCCGGCATGTGTGTAAACTTGCCGGTCGCGGTCCCAGAAGTTAACCAGACCGTCGGATGAACCGCTATAAAGACGGGAGGCGGAAGGGTCAATGACCAATGATGTAACTGCACATTCTTGTTTTAGCAACATTTGTGTCATATGATGTTTGGTGCGCTTCCCTTTGAACTCCCTCCGCCATACTTTCACGGTTCCATCAGCGGAACCGGAAAAGACTAATCCGTTACACCCCACGACGACCGAATTAACTGCGTCGTCGTGGGCGTTTATGGATTCCAAGCATTTCGAGTCCTCGATCCTCCAAACCTTGATCGTTTTGTCCCAGGACGACGAGTACAAGAGGGAGGCGTCCTCGCTTAAAGTGAGAGACGAGATGGCATCGAAATGCTTGATCCAAACGCCGTTATGGTTCTTCCTCACCTCGACGTAATTTTTCGGCTTCATCGATTTCTTGACGCAGGCTTTGAAGGTTGGCAAAGTCCCAATGCGCTTGTGAAGGCTAGGGTTCTTGTTAGAAACTTTCCACACCCGAATCTTGCCGTCCTGATGTCCGGTAAAGATCCTCTCGCCGGCGATTATGATCGCCTTCACTAACCCGCTGTTGGATTTGAAACCGGTAAACTCAGTCTGGTTTTTCCAAACCCTAATGTTCTTGCTGTCTGAACCGGTGTACAACAAGTCGCCGTAGGCGGCTAGGGAATATATATGGCCTTCTTCTCGAACGAGGGAACCCATTAATCCGGTGTAGGAATAGACGTCGTTGGAAGGTGGGGCCATGGATCGGTGAGCGTGCCAAGGAGACTGAGATAACGGAGATGACGGGTAGTGGCCGAATGAGGTGGTCGGCGTGAAAAGAGGAGAATCCTCCCATGTGGCCTCCCACGACGGCGGCGCGTCATTGTTGTAGCATGCCGATGACCGCCGCCTGTCGTGAGAAGCGCAGTCCGATGCGGTGCTGAAGCGGAAGGAAACGTCCTCATCTTCATTGTTAGGGTCGGATTGCAGAATGCCGCCGATCGTGTTTCTCCGATAATTGCTGCTGCCGTTGCTGCTCTCGAACGTCGCCGGCATCTTGCTTCTTGTTGAGTTCTTCATCATCTTTGTTTCTTCCTACCTAGCTCTCAATCATATGATAATCAAATGGGGAAATGTTCTTTTTTATTAAAAGTTGCATGGATCAAGATTGACAAGGCCATATTTCACTATTGGATTTTTGTGGTAATAATTAAGTAAAAAAAATCATCAATCTGATCCCCTCTAAACTGAAACTAATGTAAATCAATAAATGCCTAAATGGCTAAGAATAGATTGGAACATGTGCATGTAATCAGAGACTGATTAAATAATTCTTTCTTTTGTTTTTCAGGAAATGTGGAAGATTTGGAGGACAGTAATTGTCTAATATTGCATTGCGGGATTGGAGGAAAATGTGCGGTTTAAGAGTGAGCCAAGAACATCGCGAAGAGAAAATTCAATAATGAAAGCTAAATGAATGGTTAGACAACCATATCATGGGTGCACCTGAAAAAATACCCAACATTCTATATATTTGTAAATGACATTGCGCCAAATAGAATCGGATATATTTTATTCCTAAAGTAACACTTGTTCGATTAATTGATAAAATGTATAAAACTATCCTAAATTAGGCAGGGGTGTGATCGGGTCGGGTTGGGTCGGGTTTTGGCTAGGACTGTTAAAAACCCGAAAAGCTTCGGGTTCTGCATTTTTCGGCCCGGCCCGAGGACCAACACTTTCGAGTCGGCCCTCGGGTTCGGGTTGGGTTCGGGTTGGGTTGGGTTGAACCTGAAAAAAAACCGAACTAAGATATCTAAAACAATTGAAATACAATCACAACAAAAATTGCAAATATCATCTAAGCTTCTAATAAAAAAAGTGTAGTATATTCAAACCAAATCAATATAATTTGAATCTAAAAATCACACGATAGAAAATGTTGTAGAAGAGCAATTGGTTCGAAAGCAAAGTAATATTCCCTCTTTCCCAAATTGATTTAAAAAATAAAGATTTTTGGTCAACCAATGTTAAAGTTAAATCCTCTATATTGATACTTGATTCAATTTTTAATAATTAAAATTTACATATTAAAAACTACATTAAAATATCTTCAAAGTTGCAAACTCCAAATTAAATATAATTAAAAGTTGACATCCAAATTAAGTGAAAAAATGAAATTGTTTGACTAAAAAAAGTCAATTTTGTAAATTAATTTGGAACAGATTAGTATAAAGTAGTCCATATGTATTATATATAAAAAATCGGTATGATGTATTATTAGGTCATACGTATTTTATATGAAATAGAAATAATTACATATTTATGACTAAAATAAAGATTGTTTACAAAAATGTGACTAGTGATGACTATAGTAGTAATGGAATTATAGTAACTTATGTTCATTTTTTAAACATAAATTACAATGACACTACATTGTAGTAACAATAAAATATACATATTTTAGTTTCTTAATTAAATCGGGTGTTTTGGTTCGGGTCGGGCTTAAAATTTTAGAACCCGAATTAGGACCCAAGTTTTCGGATTCGGGTGGGGTATTATAACCCAGACCGGTCATTTTTAAAATAAAACCCGGACCAATGTCATATATCGGGTTGGGTCAATTCGGTTATCGGGTTCTGGGTAAGTTTTTTCCACCCCTAAAATTAGGGGTGGACTCGGTCCGGTTCTAGTTCCGGTCCTGGTTCCCCAATATAAAGACCAGAACTGACCCGAATTACTATAGTTCCGGTCCGGTCTATCCGGCATGCCCCGGGCTGGTTCGGAACCTTTTTATTTATTTATTTTAAATGTATTATAAACACTAATCAGATTTAGAATAGTAGAAACACTACATTGTGACTTGTATTATTGACGTGCACTTTGTCACGGTGCGTCAAAATAAATTCAATACTAGCACTTATACGTAGTATAGTGTAGTAGAGTTCGTATCCACAGGGAAAGGAATAATTCTCTTTTTATGAACTAGTGAATAAAAGGGGGGTTTTGATATTGTTGGAATTTAATTAATTAAATACTAAGATGAACGAGTTATATGTGATTTAATTCAAAGATAAAAAGGACTTGGCATTGCTACTTTCCACTTGTTGATATATTTTAGTCGATCATTGTTATATCTATAACTTATTCCCTCTCGAATACTCAATCTAGGAGTATATCCAATTCATCGAGGGTAGCTATTAACAACGACCGTTCATTAATAACCCTTACTATTAGTCAAGTATAGAACACCGTCATATACCGACTTAATAGTAGCATTTAATCTCTTAACTCCTTGATGAAATCAATTGAGATTGATAACCTCAACACAACGGTTTCGGTTTAACCAACAAAATTAATCCCTCTTAAGTTTATTAACCACGACCGTGCATTAATAAACCGAAGTTACTTACTTGTGAAGCCATCAACGATTAACCATCGGTTCGTTGATCGTTTCTAGTAGTAATTAATGTCGAGATGTTAACTAATTGTCATCTTAGCAACACTCCCCAACATTAATATATAGATAGATTAAGAGAATAATTAATATTCAAGGGAAGAAGATAAGAAAATAACTCACAACTTTAATAATCAACAAGCTTCAAGAGCAACACCAAGAAATGGAAGTTTAGCTCCTCATTTGGAGACTAAACATGCTATAAAAATATAAAAGAAATACTATTCTAAACTGAGCTTAAGAGTATGGAAGAATGAGTTCTCATTTGTGAAGGAAAATGGGGTTATTTATAGGTGTTTTCAACACCCTGGGGCATTGACCCGCCCGGGTAAAAGGACATACCCGACCGGGTCAACGTCAAAATCAAATATTTCCCACGTTCTGGCGATCTTCGGCATGTTCTGGTGTTCCGGGTCACATCTGACCCGACCGGGTCAAATAAGTGACCCGCCCGGGTCTAGTGACTTTCTCAGCAGTTTCTGATTCTTTGTCATACCCGACCGGGTGAAATATTGTACCCGGTCGGGTTTGTGCTTCTGGGCAGCCAAATCTTATTTTTCTTCACTTCAAAGTCCTCCTTTTCAATACCCTAATTCCTAACTCTACTTTACAACTTACAAATGAAGATTAAAATACAATTACAACTAAAATCACACAAATGTTTACAAACTAAACTAAATAAAACGGTAAACAAACCACACAAATCAAACATAAAAACATACACTTATGCACTACTAATTAGTGCATATCAAACACCCCCACACTTGAACCTTTACTCGTCTCGAGTAAACAAAATCCAGCCCAAGAAGTCCTTAAAATGACAAGAGTATCAACACCAACATCCACGTGTGTTTGTAGAACAACACAAAAAATATCCCCAAAAATATAAGAGTAAAGAGGGGTCTTCAACTCCACATTTTTTTATCAACCTCAATTTTTTTTTCATTGTTACCCTTAGGATCCTGCAGAAATAAAAGAAAATACTTTCTCTCATTCTCTCGTTTTGCCTAGGTGCCCTTTCGGGTTTTCATCCCAGCTTCCCACATTTTTCTGTGTCAATCCTCACAACTCACTCTTATTTTTGCTTTATTTTTGCTTAAGTTGCCTTTTCAGGTTTTCAACTTAACAAGCTTTTTATTCTTTTTTTTTTTGAACATTTTTTTTTAACAAGAATAAAGAGTATGAATGCGAGTAGTCCATAAAACTCTCCCCCCAAGCTAGCCAAAGCACTGTCCCTAGTGCTCATCTTCAAGACGTCATAGAAGATGACCCCTTTTTGTGGTGCCATTTCTTTCTTTGTTGGTTGAGCAAAATTCTGACTTGGTGTAGGTGGAGTTAGGGAATTCGGATTTTTGGGAAATTTGGTGGGTTTTGTTGGAAAAGAAATGAAAAAAAAGTGGAGAGAATAAGAAGAGTATGTGTTTAGTTTGTGGATTTGGTGGATGGTTGAGGTGTGAAATTGTAACTATGGAGATTTTTGGGTTCGAATTTTGGGAAGAAGAATGGGACGATTTTTTTTTTTTTTTTTTTTTTTGAAGAATGGTCTGGTTTCCAAAAACTCGAGATACCCGGCCGGGTGGGGTAGTGTACCCGGTCGGGCGTTTCACCCGGGGTGGCAGTAGTTTTTTTTTTTTTTTTTGTGGTCACGCCCGGTCGGGTGTAATGAGGTACCCGGTCGGGTGGGATTTATTTTTTTTGTTTTCTTGGTCAACCTCGCCCGGGTGATGGGGCGGGTATCACATTTTTACCCTAACCCGACCAGATTAAATGAGATGCCCGGCCGGGTATATGCCCCAGACCTTCATTTTTCATTTTTTTTTTCATTTTTTTTTAAAAGTGCAAAAATAAAATGAAACAAGTAAACGCACCTTGCCTGGGTTGCCTCCCAAGAAGCGCCTCGTTTAACGTCGCGGCACGACGCCATCATTGTGTTCAATCGTTGAAGCTTGGATGGTGGTAATTCATCTTCTTCACATTTTCACTCCTAGGACTTACATAGGAATGCTCAATTTTCCGACTCTTAACTTTGAAAATCTTTCCAGGATCAAATATCCAGATTTTCATTGATTCATGTGGGAGGGAGGGGAAGAAACTATCATTTAGCATGGTCAATGAAAAGTTTTTCGACCCCTCAATTTTGAAGAAGATTTCGGAAATGTCATTGTCCTTTTCAAGTTTATGAGTTTCTCTTAAAGCGTCCAGGGATAATGGAGATACCTCAAAGGATGACAATGACAAAAATTTGAATTTGAAGCTCGGCTTATCCTCTTCTTTGACCAGTTGGAGCTCTGTGTCTTTTACTTCTTCTACTTCTTCTGGATTCTGGATCTCCTTTTGCATTTCCTTTTCATTTGTCAATGTCATTGCAAAAGTTTGCTGTTTAGGAAGTTTTTCCGAATCCCTTGCTTCAAGCCTACTCACGGCTCCGGCTATTTGACTCATTTTAGTTTCCAAGTTTAAAATGCTAGACTTGGTCTCATTTTGGAATTGCACCATGTTGTTTTGCATGGTGGTCATGTTGGTAGCAATAGCCCGGACCATATCCTCCGTAGACATGTTAGAGTTGGAGAACGGATCATACCTCATGTGAGGTACATCCCTTTCATAACCAACATCATCAATTTGTTCAAGGTATTCATCTTGGAGCTTTGGGCAGAAATCCGTAAGATGTATGTGAGACATGCAAATGTTGCATGTCTTGGCATCTTGAGCTTTTGAGCTTAAGATAAATTCATTTATTAGAGAAGTCAAGAAGGAAATTTGACTCTCTAAGGATGAAATGTTGGTATCCATACACTCATAACTCATGTAAGCTCAGAAAATAGAAGAG